TCTCAAAAAAAAAAAAAAATTAAAAAAAAAAAAAAAAAAAAAAAGAAAGGAATGGGCCTACAATTGGTGACATAACGACAAATGAAAATTATATTTCATTTACCTTTTATACAGAGGGCTACACCGTAAAAAAATTATGCAACTGTTTATGTTTAAGCCACCTGGCACCTAGTGGGTGCAAACCTTTTCTGTGACAGAATTAAAGGCTGAACAACTCAGTAAAGACACCCATATTACCACCATCTCTGTCACCATAAACACCACTAGTCTGACAGCCCAACTCACGCGGGCCACTAAACTGCATTTACTAGCTAGCTTTACGTAACGAGACACGTGTCATGTTCTGCGGAGCGCTTCTTGCCGGTGAGGTTAGCCAATGGAAAAGCAGCTTTTGGCCAGCGGGCCCCTCCCCCTCCCCTGAGCGGTGAGGGGCGTGGCTGGCGCCCGGCGCGGAGGCGTCACGTACTCCATGGTAACGACGCTCAGCCCAAAGATGGCGCCCGAATGGGGTGGAGGAGTTGGTTCCTCGGGCTCAGGCCCGGGCCCGGGCCGGTGGCGCTGGAGCGGTTCTTTATGGGTCCGAGGCGTTTTACTCCTGTTGGGCGGGCTCCGAGCAAGCGCTACATCTATTCCTGTCTCCTTGGGCAGTTCCCCTCCCTGTCGGCACCACGTCCCCTCTGACACTGAGGTAGGGCGACGGAGGAACGGGAGCGGGCCCTGTGTGGGTAAAGTAACACGGGAGGCAGTGGCATAGAGAGTAGTGATTGGAACAAGGCGTACGGGAGAAAGAAGCGAAATGGTGCCCAAGACTGAACTGCTATCAGCTCCCTTCCTGCACCAAACTAAGTGGCTGAGTTAGGCACTCAAACCATCACTCGCCTGTGCGTAGAGTTGTGCGTAGCAGGTTGTGCTAGAGCAGTGGTTTTCAAATTTGAGCTTGCATCCGAATCACCTGGAGGGCTTGTTAAAAAACAGATTGCTGCCCAACTCCCCCACTTCCTGATTCATTAAGGCAGGGATGGGTCCCCAGTATTTGCAGCTCAAGTTCCCAAATAGTTGGTGATGCTGCCTGTCCAAGGACCACACTTTGGGAAACACTGAACTAAAGATTTGGGGAGGAATTAATTGGAGAACCAAAGGCGATGGAGGGATATTGGGGTTCTGTGGAGAAAAAAATCAGGTTTATTTTCAGGTTGCCTCATCACATTGCTTGCTTTACCCTGTTCTCCTGCCCTGGAAGTGCCTACGTCCTTCACACTCCATTTTTCTTCCTAAATTCTTTCACTTTAAGTTCCCTTATCTCAAAGCAGCCTCCTGAAACGGACGCCAGTATAATAATGCTCTTTCCATTTTTCCCTCTGTCTTATCTGTACTCTCGTCAGTACTGCTATGTGATACTGGCTTGTTTTTCAGGCATATCTTGCTTTTGTAAATTGTAAGGTTCCTTAGGATAAAGTTCGTGTCTTACGCTTTGATTCCTCCACAGTACTTTGCTCCGAGGGAGGGCCCACAACAATCTCTATTCTTTGAGGAAAGGAGACACAGTGCCTGGGGAAGGGCTGCATGTTGTGACTGATTTTACAATTTGTCTTATTACTTTATCAAGAAATATTAACCTAGAAATTTTCAGATCGGCCCTGTAATCTAAGACCTCTCATTTATGTGGTAATTTCCAAAAAATTCTTTGCATCCTGTTCAACCATATGTGCCAAAATATTAAGTTTGGGGTTTGCAGTGGTGTAATACCTGTAATCGTTTTTTATCATGACACTGCATTTTGGCTGAATTACTTTATTTTTTTTAGTCCCTTCGCAACTTTTAAGTTTAGAATGCATCATTGTTGCCTATAATCACTATGCTGTGCATTAGCTCTACAGGACTTATTTATCTACTGGTTGTAAGTTTATACTCTTAAACAACATACCCCAAATTCCCCCACCCCTCTGATAAATTCTTTTAAAAAAAATTCCCACAAAGCCCTGTGCTTCTCTCTTTCAATTTAGATTAAAGTCAGAGGAAGTAGTTCAAAGACCTGCAAAATCTCTGCTAGAAGGAACCTGAATAGCTGTTTCTTCTAGTGGTTGTTGCCAATGTACAAATCTCTAACTTATATTTTAACATCTCCATGAATAGGGGAATTATCTTCAGAGGCATCCCCTATGTTTTTTGGAGATCAGCATTGTTAAAGTTTTTCTTTTTGTAAGAGTTGAAAACTCTTTCTGAAACACACACACACACACACACACAAACACACATTCCTTTTTACACCTCTTGGCTGAACAAGCTCAATAGTGATAGTTCTTCAGATATTAAAAGCAAGCTATTAAGTTCTTGAGAGTTCTCATCCCTAATAAATTTTCCTAGTTCTTGACAGGGTATGTGAGAGCAAGCCCTTTTAACCATTTTCTTTGCTTTAACCTGAACACAAAGTATAGGCAAGAACCATTCATTGTTCATAGTACTTAAATGCTACAGGAAATTACAGTAACTTTTCTTGGTGGTAGGGGGGAACTAGAAAACATTTTGACTCATTTAACTTGTTCTCAATTAAAACCTCAATGTTTTGTTTTTACTTTTTATTATATAAATTAAAACAAAACCCCAAACAGAATAGTATAATGAACTCCCATCGGCCCATCACCCAGCTTCAACACTTAACCAATATTCTGTCATTCTTGTTTCACGTACTTCTCTCCATTCCCCATCCTTTCACTTTTTACTTTTAAAAGTTTTGGGGGATATAACTTACATATATTGAAATGCAACAGATGCAGTCATGTACATCCATGTAAAACTCACAACCCAATCACAATGTAGAACATTTCCATGTCTTCAGAAAGTTTCCTCCTATCCTGTGCCAGTCATTCCCCGGTCCACACCAGCAATTATTGTTCTGATTTTCATTTTACATTAGATTTAGATTTTACAATAGATTAGTTTTGCCTGTTCTAGAACTTAGTTTGCATAAATAGAGTGATAAAATATATATACTATTATATGATAGATTGTATTGAATTTTCCAATAGTAAATCAACCTTGTATTTTTGGAATAGACCCTACTTGGTCATGATGTGTTATCCTTTTTATATACCTCAAAATTCAATTTGCTAATAGATTGTTAAGGACTTCTGTATTTATGTTTATGAGTGATGTTAGTTTATAACCCTTTTCAGTCAAGTTTTTGTTAGCTTTTGATATCAGAATTATACTGGCCTCACAGAATGAATTGGGAAGTATTCCATCCTCTTATATTTTCTAAGAGTTTGTGTAAAATTGAAACCATTTCTTTCTTAAATGTTTGATATAGTTCATAACTGAAACCACATGGGCTTGGAGTTTTCTTGCAGAGAGTTTTTAGAATACCTTAATTGACCTATAATTGATATACTGTACCATAAAATTCACCCACTTAATTGTCCAATTCAATGATTTTTAATAAGTTTATAGAATTGTGCAACCATCACCACAATAAAATTTTAGAACATTTCCACCACTCCAGAAAGATCCTTTGTGCCCATTTATAGTCAATCCCTATTTTCTTTTCTTTTTTTAAATTTTTATTGTTGAAAATATTACAGATGTCCCCTTTTTCTCCCATTAACCCCTTCTACCCCACACCCACTCCCGGCCCCAGGCCTTCATCACACTATTGTCTGTGTCCATGGGCTATGCATATATGCATATAAATTCTTTGGTTAATTTCTATTTTCAAGCAACCAATATATAGAGAGGTTTAGATAAATTAATTTTCTCTGATACAAGCCTATTCATGCTTTCTTTTTTAAAAAAATATGTTTTTATTGATTTTTAGAGAAAGAGGAAGGGAGAGGGATAGAGGTAGAAACATCAATGAGAGAGCAACATCATGCATCAGCTGCCTCCTACACTGCCCCTACTGGGGATCCATGTGCCCTGACTGGTAATTGAACCAATGAGTCAAACTCACCCGGCTATTCATGCTTTCTCTCTGATCTTGTCAGCCTGGGTAACTTGTATTTTTCAAAGACTTTATTTCATCTGAAGTTTTAAATTTGTTGGCATAAATTTGTTCATCATTATCCTTTTGAGTGAAGAAAGTAAGAAGTTACGAAATAATCATGGGGATATAAAATACAGCACAGGGAATATAGTAAATAATGTTGTAATAACTGTATGGTGCCAAGTGGATACTAGAGTTATCAGGGGAATCACTTCACAAATTATGTAATTGTCTAACCACTATGCTGAATATCTGAAACAAATATTTTTAAAAATTATCTTTTGATGTCTGTAGAATCTGGTGTGATACCTACCCTTTTATTTCTTAAGTGGTAATTGGTGTTTATTCTGTTTTATCATAGTCCAGTCTTGCTAGGGGGGTTATTAACTTTATTAATTGTTATAATAACCAACTCTTGGCTTTAGTAATTATCTTTAATGATTGTTTTATCTATTTTGTTGTTTTCTCTTCTTTATTTCCTCTTTCTACTTATTGTGGATTTACTTTGTTCATATTATCAGGTGAAAACTTAAATCATTGTTTTGGATCCCTTTTTTCATTCTAATACAAATATTCAAAGATACAAATTTTGCTCTAAGTAAGTACGTTAGCTGCACCTCACAGATTTTGACACATTGTATTTTAATTATTGTTTAGTTCAAAAAGTGTTTTTATTTTCCCTGATAATTTCTTCTTTCATCCATGGGTTATTAAAACTGTTTAAAGTATAATTTCTAAATATTGGGTCCTTTTCTAGATACCTTATGTTAATGACTTCTAATTTAGAGAGTATCTTCTGTAAGATTTCAACACTTTTATTTATTTATTTATTTTATCCTCACCCGAGGATATTTTTTCCATTACTTTTCAGAGAGAGTGGAAGGAGAGAGAGAGAGAGACATTGATGTGAGAGAAACACATCGATTGGTTGCCTCCCACACACACCCCAACCAGAGCCAGGGATTGAGCCTGCAACCGAGGTATGTACCCTTGGCCAGAATCGAACCCCGGACCCTTTGGGCCAAGGGCTGACACTTTAACCACTGAGCCAAACTGTCTAGGGCAGATATCAGCACTTTAAAATTTGAGATTGTTTTATTTATACTTCAGCATACACTTTATCCTGTTTAGATTTTCATGTGTACTTGTAAAAGATATATATTCTATAGTTATTGAGTGTAGTTTCTATACAATGTCAATAAGGTGTGGTGATTGACAGTATACTTCAGATTGCTATATTCTTACAAATTTTTGCCTAGTCATTAGGGTCCTAAAAATCTCTAAGACTGTAAATTTATCTTCCTTTGGTTCTGTCAGTTTTTGCTTCATGGATTTTGAATCTGTTAGATAGATTCAAATTTATAATCATGTCTTTCTGTTGTATTTACCCTGTCTACTTGTACCAGTTTTCATTATAAAATTTTATTCTTTATTCCTGGTAATACTCCCTGTCTTGAAGTCTATTTTGTCTGATATTAATGTAACATTTCAGCTTGCTTATAATTAGAGCTGACATGATATACATCTTTCCATTCTTTTACATTTAACCTTGTGTTGTGTGTGTGTATATTTGCTTTATGGATTATAATAGGCATCTTTTGCTTATTACAAAAATTTAATGTTGATTTTGCCTTATCATAGTGATTACGACGTCCAATATGATGTTAAATAAGAGTGGCGAGAGTAGACATCCTTGCATTATTCCTGATCTTAGGGGGAAAGCATTTAGTCTTCTGCTATTAAGAATATTAGTTGTAGTTTTTTTGTAGATATGCTTTATCAGGTTAAGAAAATTACCTGCTATTCCTAGTTTGCTGATAGTTTTTATCATGAATGGATGCTGAATTTTATTAAATGTCTTTCTGCATCAATTGATATAATCATGTAGCTTTACTGCGTTCATACTGTGAATTACATTGATTGATTTTTTTTTTTGAATGATGAACTAGTCTTGTATTCCTGAGATAAAACCCCACTTGGTAATGATGTATTAACACTTTTTACATTTTACTGGATTTGATTTGCTAATACTTTGTTGGTGCTTTTGCACACATGTTCATGAGGGGATATTGGTCTGTAGTTTTCTTTCCTCAGTGACTTTGTTAGGTTTGGTATTAGGGTAATGCTGGCCTCATAGAATGAGTTGGGAAACATTCCTTCCTCTTCTAATTTTAAGAAGAGTTTGCAGCCCTAGCCGGTTTGGCTCAGTTCTAGTATTGGCCTTCAGACTGAAGGGTCCTGGATTCAATTCCGGCCAAGGGCACATACCTTGGTTGCAGGCTCAATCCCCAGCCCTGGTCAGGGCCCGTGTGGGAGGCAACCAATCAATGTGTCACTCTCACATCGATGTTTCTCTTTCTCTCCCTCTCTCTCCTTTCCACTCTTTCTGAAGAGCAATGGAAAAAAAATATCCTCAAGTGAGGATTAAAAAAAAGAAAAAGAAGAGTTTACATGCAGTCAGTATTGCTTCTTCCTTAAAAATTTTAGTAGAATTCATGAATGAATCCATCTCAGCCTGGAATTTTCTTTGAGAGTTGTAAATTATGAAATCAATTTCTTTAATAGATACTGGAGTATTCAGGTTGTCTATTTCTTCTTGATTGTGTTTTCCTTTCATTAAAGTTGTCAAATTTATGGACATAAAGTTTTTCTTAATATTTCTTTTGATCTTTTAAATGTTGTAAAGGTTTTTGGTACCACTTCTAATGTGTGGGTTTTTTTCTACATACCACTAAGCAACTGGGTGTCCTACAATTTAACTCAATTCTGACACTATCTACCTAGAGGTAATATCAGATTCCACAGGTTAAGGGTATAGTCCTATGAGACTCCTTCCCCCCTCAATCTCAAGTCCAGGTTGTCACCTGAGCTTTTGACCTAACAGCTATAGATTGGAGGTTTTAATGACCCCCAACTTGGATTCACCTAATATAAAGAGCAGCTCACAGAACTCAGAGAAAATTTTTACTTACTAGAATATCAGTATATTATCAAAGGATATAACTCAACAGTTAGATGGAAGAGATGCATAAGGCAAGGTATGGAAAAAGGCATAGAGCTTCTATGCTGTGTAAGCATACCACTCTCTCCAAATCTCTGTGTGTTCGCCAACCTGGAAGCTCTCCAAACCCCATTCTATGGGTTTTATGGAGGCTTCATTGCATAGACACGATTGATTAAATCATTGACCATGAACTCAGTTGGTGATTGAACTCAATCTTCATTCAGCCTCTCTCCTCTCCTCACCTCAGAGGTGGTAGTGGGGGAACAGAACTGAAAATTTCAACCCTCTATTCACATGTTTGGCTCCACCAGCAACTAGTCCCCATCCTTAGGTACTTTCCAGAAGTCACCTGATTAGCATAACAAAAGTCACCTTTATTGCTCTCATCACTTAGGGTTTTAATAGCTCTCTGCCAGAAACAGAACAAAGACCAAATACATATATCTTATAAATCACAATATCACAGTGTGTAGTGATGTCTCCTGTTTTATTGATATTGGTACTCTTTCTTGGTCAGCCTGCTTACAGGCTTATTAATTGTATTGATCTCAAAGAATCAGTTTGGTTTCATAAGGTCTTGGTTTCATTTATTTTTCTATTTTCAATTTAATTAATTTCTGCTCTTATCCTTATTATTTCCTTTCTTCTGCTCTGAGTTTAATTTGCTCTTCTTTTTCTAGTTTCTTAATATGGAAATCTAGATATTTAATTTGTGATTATTTTTCCTAATATAAATATTTAAAACTATAAATTTTCCTCTAAATGCTGCTTTAGCTACATTGTTGTAATTTTCTTTTTATTCAACTCAAAATATTTTCCAATCTCCCTTGTGACTTCCTCTTTAACCTAAGGCATAATTAGAAGTTTGTTGTTTGATTTTTGAATATTTGGGGATTTCCTAGTTATTTTTCTATAATTGCATTCTAGTTTAATTTTGTTATGGATAGAGAATATTCTTTGTATGATTTCAGTTTTTAAATATTTCTTAAGGTTTATTTTATAGCCCAAAATGTGATCTATCTAGGTGAATATTCCACTTGTACATTCTGTTGTTGTTGGGCAAGTGGTCTATAAATATCAATTAGGTCAAGTTAGTTGTAGTGTTGCTCAGGTCTCCTATATCCCTACTGATTTTTCTATGTACTTGTTTGTATCAGTTACTGAGATCAGAGTGTTAAAGCCTCCAGCTATAATTGTGGATTTATTTCTCGTTTCAGTTTTTGCTTCATGTACTTTGAAGCTTTGCTGTTAGATTGTTATGTTTTCTTGGTGAATTGATCCACTTGGCATTATATACTGTCTCTTTATCCCTGGTAATATTACTTTTTAAAAAAAATATGTCTTTATTGATTTCAGAGAGAGGAAGGGAGAGAAAGAGAGAGAGAAAAACATCAATGATGAGAGAGTTGTCATTGATCAGCTGCCTCCTGCGTGCCCCGACTGGGGACCGAGCCCGCAACCCAGTCATGTGCCCTCACAGGGAATCGAACCATGATCTCCTGGATCCTAAGTCGATGCTCAACTGCTGAGCTATGCCTGGCTGGGCAATATTACTCATTTTTAAAAATTTAATTTAATTCAAGCTTCATGCATTAGGACAGGCACCATCTGTATGTATATTTTCTTTGGTGAGATGTCTATTAAAGTTTTTGGCTGTTTTTTTTGTTTGTTTAAGATATTTGATTGATTTTTAGAGAGAGAGGAAGGGAGAGGGAAAGAGAGAGAGAAACATGCATGTGAGAGAGCAAAATATCCATGGGCTGCCTCCTACATGCCCCCTACTGGGGATCGAGCTCACAACCCAGGCATGTGCCCTGACCAAGAGTCTAACTGGCAACCTTTCAGTACATAGGACTATACCCAACCAACTGAGCCATACCAGCCAGGGCAGTTTTTGACCATTTTTAAATTGGGTTGTTTGTTTTCTTTTTCTTTCTTTCTTTCTTTTCTTTTTTTTTTTACATTTTTACTGGATTTATTGGGGTGACATTTGTTAATAAAATTATATAAGTTTCAGGTGTACAATTCTATAATACATCATCTGTATATTGTATTGGGTGTTCACCACCCCAAGTCAAGTCTTCTTCCATCACAATTTTTCCCTCCTATGCCGTCTTCTACCTTACCCCACCCCACTTGGGTTATTTTCATAATTGTTGAGTTTTAAAAGTTCTTTGTATATTTTGGATAATCGTCCTTTTTCAGATGTATCTTTTGCAAATATTTTCTCCTATTTTGGCTTATCTTATTCTCTTGATGTTATCTTCAACTGAGAAGTTTTTAATTTTAATAAAATTGAATTTATCAATTATTTCATTCATGGATCATGCCGTCAGTGCTGTATCTTAAACGTCATTGCCATACCCAAGGTCATCGAGCTTCACTCCTATTGTATCTTTTAAGAGTTTTATTGTTTTGCATTTTACATTTAGGTCTATAATCCATTTTGAGTTAATTTTTATGATGGATATTAGGTGTGTATATAGATTCATTTTTTTCCAAGTGGATATCCAGTTGTTCTAGGGCCATTTGTTGAAAAGACTATCTGCTCCATTATTTTACCTTTTTCCCTTTGTTGAAGAATAGTTGACTATATTTATGTGGTTCTATTCCTGGGCGCTCTATCCTGTTCTATGGGTCTATTTGTCTCTTCTTTTGCCAGTACCACACTGTCTTGATTACTGTAGCTTTTTCCTTAAGTCTTGAAGTCACATAGCATCAGTTCTCCAACTTCATTCTTCTCCAATATTGTGTTGGCTAGTCTGGGTCTTTTGCCTCTCTATGTAAATTTTAGAATCAGTTGATTTATATCCATAATATAACTTGCTGGGATTTTGATTGGGATTATATTGAATCTATACATCAAGTTGAGTCTTTCTATTCATGAATATGAAATATCTCTCCATTTATTTGTTCTTTTATTTTTTTCTGGGTATTACACTTGAAATTTATTTATTAATTTTAAGTTAGGATCTCAATTGGCTAATCTATACATCTTTAAAATATTTTTTAAAATCTATTCCTTGTTTCAGGTCATAAATAAGGTCCATCTTAAGGCAAATCATGTTGTAAAGAGAGATGCTGATGAACATTTAAGAATCAAGACTATCTATGATAAAAGTATTGAAGAGTAAGTAGATCATTATTTTGTGACCTTTTAAATTAAGAATCAAACTATTAAAGATCTTTTTATCTGTTACCTGAAGTTCCATAGATTGAACTCAGTGCCAGATGCACCTTCAAGATGGAATTAAACTAAAAATGCTTTTTAATTTGGAAAGATGGTGGCCATGGGGTATGATCAAAATCTATATATCATGCATAATTTGAACAGAAAAAATATGGATCTACTTAGATGTGGTCACTAACAGACCTAGAAGGCACCTAAGTACTTGGAAGAAAAATAAGATGAAGTGCTTATATATACAATAATAAGAATATTTACAAAATTATTAACCAGAGAGATAATATAAATTTTTTATTTAGTGTAAGAGTGGTCCAGAAAACAGATAAATTAAATCTATGTAGTTTTTTTTTTTAAATATTTTTTTATTGATTTTTTAGAAAGAAAAGGGAGAGGGAGAGAGAGAAACATCAATGTGAGATGGAAACATCGATGTTGCATGCCCCTAGGCATGTGTCCTGATTGAGAATTGAATCAGCAACCTTTCAGTGCACAAGACAATGCCAAACCAACTGAGCCACACTGGCCAGGGCAATCTATAGTATTTTATGAAGATCTATTAAGAGTAATTGATGTCCTTTCTTATCCTTAACTTCCCAAATGAATGTGATAGCATAAAGTCATCCCTGAGTTGTGCTTTGACACAGAGTAAACTCTCAAATACTCATTGAGATAAATTGAAATTTTGGGGGATTGATACTGCATGCTTCTACAAAGCATTCATTGGGGCTCCTGCCGGATGTGTTCTGAACAAGTGAGAACAGTGCTCTGCCCCAGCATGGCAATTCTTATGTTTCATGTTGTCACTTTTTTCAGATTGCTCCTTGAAAAAAGAAACCTTGTTAAGGTAGGTAATAAATACTCATGGCTTGAATTAGATACTTAAAATGTGTATATTTTGTTGTACGTAAATTCTACTTCAGTGAAAAAATATATATATACATGACTGTTTCGTGAATGAATGAATAAAAGATGTTGGTAGTGGATTGATAAATGTGTTTCTCATTTTCACCAAAGGTGTCTTTGTGTTGCACTCACCAAGACTTTGTCTGTATTTGATATTAAATTAGTCTTCTCATTTTCTTGTTCTCTTAAATTTTGGGGGAGCAGAACATACTGAGGATAGTGTAAAAAAAGGTGATTTTTTAAGTGCATTGAGAACACCATTGTAATGGAAATGCTTATTCTCCTGAAGATTAATTGGCCTGAAAGTATGATATGCCAGTGTTGTTTATAGAAGTGCTAACCTCATTATTTTGTTAACTTACAGAGAGTCACGTACACATACACACATGCACACACATTAAGCCAATTCATTCACAGAAATAAATGAGGTTAAAGCTAATCTTCTAAACATAAGATTTTCTTAACATAAACTACCTTAATGTTGGAACCAACTAACTCAGTCCCAAATTTGAAGTAATTTAGATTAATAGTTGAGATTTATGTTTTCTAATATTCTATTTAAGTAGAGGTAGGGAAGGAAATTTCCATCTGGTGTTCTTTCCCCCAAATCAACTAGAAAACGGGGAAATTCCTTTGCTCCTACACTTATTTACTCTTTCCCCTAGTCCTGGCCATACAACCTTTGACTAATTAGTATCTGTCTTCCAGAATTGTAAGACTTTTCCTCTTTTTTACCCTCAGTCATTAAAATCCTATGCTTACTTGTTTTAAATGTGATTTATACTTTGACTATAATTCTTACTGGTTTTCTGTTTTAAACTTTTATTTAGAACAAACTTTTTCCACAAGCTATTTCTTATTTAGAGAAGACTTTTCAAGTTCGTAGACCTGCAGGCACTATTTTACTTAGCAGGTATGTATGTCACATTAAACACAGATCATTTTCTTGTCATTTAGTGCTCTGCCCTCCCCATTCTACCAGTAAGGCAAATTATGAAATGTATGCAAGAATATTTTATTATGCTTTTTCTTAAAGACCAAAGTGCAAGGTATTTTAAAAGAATATAAAAGCATATGTTGGATAATTACTCTTTCCCTGATTTCCTATCATATGGTAAACTACTAGATCTTTTCCTAGGGTGTAGTTGTCCCCTGCTTGCTACATCCCCTTCCTCCCTCCTTCATTTGTCTACAGCATTGGATTTATGAAATATTTGGGTATTTGAAAACTCCATGGACCAAAATTCTTTCTTAGTCCACTTTTTAAACTAAAATAGTAACTATTAATGAGCTAATATAACAGTTACTAGTTTTTTACAATGTCTGACTACTGTGAACTCTTCTTTCCTTTTTTTTAATAATTAAACTTTGATATACAAATGAATTGAAGACAATGTGCAACAAACCAATACCTACGGAAGGAAAATGATCCCCATAGATACTGTACTGGGGAATGTGCAGAGCATACAAAATGCGGCCCAGTTATAGTGCCTGAAGAGCACCTCCAGGTAATTCAGTAATTCAGCCTGCTCTTAGCAGTGTTTTTTTTCTTTAGAATAACCTTAGGGGAAATTTTGAATCTATGTCACCAAGAAGTTTTTACAGACTTAAATTTAAAAGTTTTATTCTTCTACCAAAAGTAATCACAGTTAGGTATGCTGAATAAAATCAGCATTGGTTTTTAAATGAATTTAATGATATTGTCTTTCCTTTTTTTTTTCTTTTTTAAATTTACCTTTGGGGCTGCTGAATCATTTTAGTTTAGAACTTTATCTTTATCCTCTAAAACATCCTTTAGCAGGTACATACATCAGTATTTTTGAAGAGCAATTTAACATTATCTTTTAGAATTAAAAAACAAAGAATCTATGCCTCAATCCAACCTAGAAATGTATCCCATAAAAACACCTATAACTAGGTAATATATGTGCAAGGATATTCTTTGCAAAACTATATAAATATGCCTGAGTTAGTATTAGTTAAATTATGGTCTAGCCATATAAAAAAGTACTATGCAGTTGTTAAAGAATGAAATTGATCATTATATACTGACTTGGAAAGATATGTAAGCTCTTAAATCACAAAAAAATGTTGTAAATCTTTATGTGTAGTTAGCCTATTTGTTGTTGTTGTTAATCCTCACCCGAGGATATTTTTTCCATTGATTTTTAGAGAAAGTAAAAGGGAGGGAGGTGGGGAGAAAGAGAGAGAAAGAGCGTGAGAAACATTGATGTGAGAGAGACACATTGCTTGGTTGCCCCGCGCACTCGTCCTGACTGGGGCCCGGGATCGAACCTGCAGCCCAGGCATGTACCCTTGACCAACCGATCAATGACGACTCTCTCATCATTGATATTTCAACTCTCTCTCTCTTCTTTTCTCTGAAATCAATAAAGATATTTTTAAAAGTTAAATAAATAATAAAATAAATAAATAAAAACACATTATAAGGGCAAAGCAGGATTTGCTTAGAAAACTAGTAATAAGGGTAATATTACACCATAAGCATAACTTTTTACCTTATATATTTTTGTATTTGAGTTTTTAAAAAGATAATGAATTTTTTGTAATAGGAAATATATTTCTATTAAATTAAAATATTTTCACCCTAGCTGGTTTGGCTCAGTGGTTATAGAATGTCGGCCTGATTG